AGGGTTTAGGGTTAGGGGTTTATGAGAGTACAGGGGTGCAGGTGTGAGTTTCAGGTAGGGTTCCCGCTTGGGTTTTTTTGTTTGATTTGGTTCAATTTTGGGTTTAGGGTTTAAGGTTTCTGCGGTAGGGATTAGAGGGGCCGGGTTTGGGCATGTGCCGGGTTTACGGGTATTGGTTTGGGGGTTTCGGGGCTGGCGCTCGGCGCATGGGGAGGATTCTTGTGAAAGTTTTGGAGATCACCCGTTGTTGAGTTGAACTCGAGAATCCTAAACCCCAAACCCGGGGAAAACGCACCCCAAACACTAAACCCTAAACCCTAAACCCTAAACCCTAAACCCTAAACCCTGAACCCTAAACCCTAAACCCTAGACATCTAAAAGAGGTCATGGGGGTTGTAAAAAAACCCTAAACCCTACACCCTAAACCCTAAACCCTAAACCGTAAACCCTAAACCCTAAACCCTAAACCCTAATTGTGCCCACCCATAGACGGAGTTTTGGCGACTGCTCTTCCTTCGAAAGCGTAGCAAGTGTCTGCACCCCTCATGGTTAGGAGGCCAGGCCCTGAATCCTCAACCCCAAACCCAGTTGATAACACCCTCATCTTTTTTTGCAACCCTAAACCCTAAACCCTAAACCCTAAACCCTAAACCCTAAACCCTAAACCCTAAACCCTAAACCCTAAACCCTAAACCCTAAACCCTAAACCCGAAACCCTAAACCCTAAACCCTAAACCCGAAACCCTAAACCCTAAACCCTAAACCCTAAACCCTAAACCCTGAACCTCACTGTTTTTTGGTTGGATGTTCTTAGGTGTGTAAACCGGTGCCAGGGTTGACTTTCCGCCACTGCCGCATCTTTGTCCTTAGCCGGTCTTCACCGCACAGATCGTGGGAACACGTTTGTTTGGAGTGTTTCGGGTTTAGGGTTATGGTTTATTTTTTCGGGTTTAGGGTTCAGGGTTTCGGGTTTAGGGTTCAGGGTTTTGAATGGAGCGCGCCACAGCACGCTTTCAGCTAATGGTCATCGGGTGGAGAGCAGCAGCTGGCCTCATCACCTGGTGGTGCATGAAGTTGCGTGGCAAATAGCCCAACCCTAGGGTTTAGGGTTTAGGGTTTAGGGTTTAGGGTTTAGGGTTTAGGGTTTAGGGTTTAGGGGTTAGGTTAGGGTTTAGGGTTCAGGGTTTAGGGCTTAAACCCCCGAGCCCCAAACCCCAAAGCCCTAAAGCCTAAACCCAGGAGGCAGGGTAGAGAGTCTTCTTGTTGCAGCTTTCGGGTCAAGGGCAGTTCGAGGGCGATTGCCAATATCCGATATTCCGGGGTTTAAGGTTTAGGGTTTAGGGTGTAGGGTGTAGGGTTTAGGGTTTAGTTTTGGGATGTTTTAGGGTTTAGGGCCCAGAGTTCCCCCAAAACCCTATGTCAAGCAATCCCAAACCCTAAACGCGAGCAAGAACTACAACAGAACCCACACAGGTTGGGATGTTCCACCTCATACTGACAGTCCTGAACGAAGATTATGATAGGGGGTACTATAGTCCCTATTAAGGACTGTTAGCATAAGAGGGAACATCCGCATTTAAGCGTCATATGGGGTTGCCGCTACTACGGACCCCATGTAGTAGGATCCCCTTCCAATAGGGTCCCCAATAAGGTATCCCTTGTTTCGGAATCCCCATATAGGTCCTTGAGGGAGGGGGGGTTCATGAGGGGTAGGTACTTAGGGAACCTTAAAAAACCTTCGGGAGTCTTAGGGAGTAGGGGGGAGGTGTTGGGGAACCTCGGGCCCCTCCCCTAAGAACACTAAGAGTGCGCCAGCTTCTCACTTCGCTCCTAGGGGTGAGACGTGAGGTCAAAGGTAATCATTTGGTCCATCATCACGAGCACGTACGAGAAGATCCGCATGCCGAATGCAAGCATCTCGGCGCGGCATCACTCCCGGCTGGCGATGTTCCTCTGCGCCATCGTCGTGAACGCCGTGAACTTCACAGTTTTCGACTCTTTCAAGATGTACCTCCCCTTTTTCGCGCTTAGGGCGTGTTTGCATCAAGACTTTTTCGCTTGTTGAGGTCTGCTAGCTCAAGGCTCAGCTGCTGCAATTTAGGGTTTAGGGTTTAGGGTTTAGGGTTTAGGGTTTAGGGTTTAGGATGACTACCCAGGTGCCCTGTCTCTTTGTGGTCGTTTGTCCTCTGGTCCTCTGGACCTCCTACTGGTGCAGGGACCTTCCCGTGAAGGCATTTCCGCACGTCATCTACGATGCCCGGGCGAGCGAGATGTTCCTGAATCTCGTAGACAACCTCAACTGATGCGGCAAGCCCGAAGCCGAAACCCTAAACCCTAAACCCTAAACCCTAAACCCTAAACCCTAAACCCTAAACCCTAAACCCTAAACCCTAAACCCTAAACCCTAAACCCTAAACCCTAAACCCTAAACCCTAAACCCTAAACCCTAAACCTAACCCTAAACCCTAAACCCTAAACCCTAAACCCTAAACCCTAAACCCTAAACCCTAAACCCTAAACCCTAAACCTAAACCCTAAACCCTAAACCCTAGGGTTCCTTCAAGTCCTAAGCCTTTCAGGAGGTTATGGTCAGAGACAAAGTCAGCCCCAGCTCCCTCGAAACCATCGCGTGGCCTTGTAGTTGAGTTGGTTGTGGTAGGGTTTAGAGTTCAGTGGTTTGGGTTTAGGATTTAGGCAGCCATTGTGATCTTGGGTTTCGGGTTCAGGGTTGGGGTCAGGAGGGTGCCCCGATGATTCTTTGCTATGGCCGGCCGCGCCGAAACTGAGGGTTTAGGGTTTAGGGTTTAGGGTTTAGGGTTTAGGGTTTAGGGTTTAGGGTTTAGGGTTTAGGGTTTAGGGTTTGGGGTCCCGCTGCCCTCAACTCCCCAAGGAACATTTTGATCTTTGCGATCCTGGTGCTTGCCATGCTCCCATTGCTACTCCATGGCAGTGTTCAAGACATTGCGGAGAGACTTAGTTGCCCAGTGGTACCCTTTAGCCGCTTTTTGTGGTTGTAGGGTTCAGGGTTTAGGGTTTAGGGTTTAGGGTTTAGGGTTTAGGGTTTAGGGTTTAGGGCTTAGGGTTTAGGGTTTAGGGTTCCCTTTGTAAAGTAAACAACCCCAAAAAGCGATGTCCCTATGATACTACGGGTTGCTGGGCCACCAAGGAGCTTGATTGTAAATGTCATGGGATATGTGACCTCCTTCGTGCCAGTGCTCGACAACCACATCTTCATCAGCAGCTGCTTTGCGCTCTACGCGCTTGCAGCGGCTATGATCACACTTGCACATCGAGATCAGGCGGAGTTCACAGAAGGGACGCCCGGGTCTGCAAGCTTGTAGCTGTGATCTTCTGAGCCGGCGAAGATGTTTGATAGCCGTGCTCCAAGCCTAAACCTTGAACCCATCTTGCCTGAGAAGCCGAACCTGCAATCCAACCCTAGAAACCCCAAACCCCAAACCCCAAACTCCAAACCCCAAACCCCAAACCCCAAACCCCAAACCCCAAACCCCAAACCCCAAACCCCAAAAAACCCCAAACCCTAAAATCCTCGAAGACGCCGCCCAGGATGCGTCACATGCTCCTACAGAACTGCGGCTATGCGATCTTGAGCCGATCCCTGGTCAAGATGTTCCACTCGCGCTTCCAACCTCCTGCCCATACAGCCCGCACTGGCTACGAGGTGTGGGATTGGGGTTGAAAACCCTAAACCCTAAACCCTAAACCCTAAACCCTAAACCCTAAACCCTAAACCCTAAACCCTAAACCCTAAACCCTCAACCCTCGACCCTGAACCCTAGAGTTAGGTAGAGGTGGAGGGTTGACTTTGGCGTCGTCGGCCCTAGACGTCAACCTTAGCTTGGTAGCCCAGTCATACCCTCTACCAGGGTTTAGGGTTTAGGGTTTAGGGTTTAGGGTTTAGGGTTCTGGGTTCCCTTATAAAGTCATCAACCCCCAAGAAGGGTGCCCTTATTGTAATATGGGTGACTGGGCTGCCAAATAGCCCTTCACTTTAACACCATCCATCTTTGACAACTTTCATCTTTGTCGCAAAGTCTCCCCTAACACCTAAACCCTAAATCCGAAACCCGAAACCCCACAGCCTAAACCCCATTAAACTCCGAACCCCTAACGCCCCAAAGACCTAAATCCCCAGTGGCTCCTAGCTTCTGCACTTCCCATCCCCATTACATGTCGGTGCACCCTCTGCCCTGAACCCTAAACCCTAAACCCCTAACCCTAAACCCTAAACCCTAAAACCCTAAAACCCTAAAACCCTAAACCCTAAACCCTAAACCCTAAACCCTAAACCTTAAACCCTAAACCCTGACGCCTCACAGCAACCCGTGGTTCGCCTTGGGTTTACGTTTTTTGGGGTTTGGCGGTAAGCGTTTACGTTTAGAGTTGAGGGGCTCAGGTTTAGGGTTTAGGGTTTGGGGTTTAGGGTTTGGGGCTTATGGTTTAGGGTTTAGGGTTTAGGGTTTAGGGTTTCTCGCTGCGAGTGCGCTTCGACCCCCTCCATGAGGTGGTTGGGGGTCGGCGCATGAGCGGCAATGCCCACCCTCCCACCCAAAATGCACACCTTGGACGGGTTTAGGGTTGTCTACCCCCCTTACACCCCTATCAAGGGGGGATATATTGTTTGGTGGAACAGAAGCAGTCGTTTAGCAACCGTGACAAAATCATGAGAAGATCTTTGGCCCCAGAAAGAACAACCGTCAGCGGTCTCGACTCGGTTCCAATCCGCAGTTCTTCGAAACCCTTTTCAAGGCTGGACGTTTAGCCCTTTCAGGATTGGCTACGGCAAAAGCGGCAGGCTCGTCTCGATTCCACTCCGTGGTCCTTGGCAAACTTTCAACGCACATGTCAAATGCCTCATGCCATATGACTTGCTTCGGGACCCTCGCAGAAGTTTCCAGGCCATACTTTTGAAGCCTCCTCCAAGTCCGTGTTGGGGATTCTTCCTTGCTGGTTTGTGGTCGAGGACCCCGGAGGCGTAAGGCATGAGGTGGGGAGGGTCTCCTCATCTTAAGCCGACGAGCACCTCGACCATCAGCAGGTTAGGACCAACACGGAGTGACAGTGCCAGGCAGCCAGGGGGCGGTGGGAGTACGGTGTACTCCGGGCGCCGCTCCTCCCGGGAGGGCCGGAAGTGCGAAGTCGCAGGGCGAGCGGTGCTCGCGGGACCTGCAGATCTCGAACAGCGGCAGTGGTGTGTGGCACTTCGTCCTCACTTTCGTCGTTTCGTGTTGTTGTTTTTTTGTTGCTGTTGCTGGTCGTTGTTGCTGCGGCTGGCTCTTTAGGCTTTGCGCCGGAGGGACCGCCCTTTTGTTAGTGCCTCGGTCGATGCTCACCTCACCTCACCTCACCTCACCTCACCTCACCTCACCTCACCTCACTCTTGAAGCCTCCAGGCCTTGGGGCCCAAGCCTCAGCCTTTGGGCCTTCGTTTTGAATCCCCAAACCCTTATTTCAAGCCTCCGGGCCTCAACTTTAAATTCCCAAACCCATAATGGAAGCCTCCGGGCCTGGATTTTAGGTCCCCAAGCCCTTAATTCAAGCCTCCGGGCCTTGAGTTTGGGTTCCCAAACCCTTAATTCAAGCCCGGATCCGGGCCTTAGCTCAAACTTCCGGACCATAGTCCCCAAACCCTCAATTTAAAGCTTCGGGGCCCAGCCCTGAATTTTACATCTCTGGGCCTTTTTTTAGGTTCCCAAGCATGTAATTTAAGCGTTTGGACCTTCATTTTTGACCCCCAAGCCCTTAATTTACGCCTCCGGGCCTTAGTTTTAGGTCCCGAAACTCTTAATTTAAGCCTCCGGGCCATCCAGGCCTCAAATTTCCAAACCCGTAATTGAAAGCCTTAATTTTGGGCCTCCCGTAACTTAAGCCTCCGTGCCTTAATTTTAGGTCCCCAAACCTTAATTTAAGCCTCCGCGCCTCAATTTTCGCCTTAATCTAAGCTTGTCAGATTAATTTTGAGTCCCCACCCAAACCCTTACTTGAAGCCTCCGGGCCCCAAGTTTAGGTTCCCAAACCCTTCATTTAAGCTTCCGGGCCTGAGTTTTTAGGCTGCCGGGCCTTCATGTCAGGTCCTCAACCCAGGGGGAGGTTTTCAGGCTTCCCCGGTCGTTTGCACCAGGGTTAGGGCTATCTTTATATAGGCTGACAGAGGCGGCCTTTGCAAAGCCGCGTGGACCTGAGGTCCAGGACCGTGGTCCGCAGGCCCCTGCCGGTGGCCTGCTAACGACCGGCCCCATCGCTGGAAAGGGCGCCGGTCTTCAGTTTAGGATTTATGGTTTAGGGTTTAGGGTTTGGGGTTGAGGGTTTAGGGTTAGTAAGTCCCATTCAAAGACCGAATACCCAACCTCCCCCCCCCCGAGTCCCAGCAAGTGTGAGTCCAAGTGCAAATGCAAGTCCAACCCCCCCCCCCCCGCTTCCAAGACGAAGCCCACGTGCCAAGTACAAGTGCGGGTCCCAAGTCCAACCCACCCCAAGTCTCCAAGTCTCCAAGTCTCCAAGTCTCCAAGTCTCCAAGTCTCCAAGTCTCCAAGTCTCCAAGTCTCCAAGTCTCCAAGTCTCCAAGTCCGAACCCCCCCCCCCCCCCACCGCAAAAAACACCGAGCCCAATGACCAAGCCCAAGTCCAACCGAGGTTCCCCCCATCCTGGGGTACGGTCCGGGGTTTAGGATCCATGGTTTAGGGCTGAGGGTTTGGAGCTTAGGGCTTCAACCCTATACCCCTAAGCCCCAAAACCCCAAACCCCTGAACCCCTGAACCCTAAACCCTAAACCCCAAACCCTAAACCCTAAACCCTAAACCTTAAACCCTAAACCAAATAATTACCCCGAAGCGCTCGGCTCGAGAGGCCCAGCTCTTGGCAGCTCACTTGGGAAATTTATCCCATCGGAGCTTCGAGGCGGGATGAGTTGTACAGAAAAATGGGGTGATTCCGGGGTTTAGGGTTTAGGGTTTAGGGTTTAGGGGTTAGGGGTTAGGGGTTTAAGGTTTAGGGTTTAGGGGTTTAGGGTTTTGGGGTTTAGGGTTTCGGGGGTGGGAGCTTATAGAAGTTGTATAGGGCTTGGGCCCCAAAATGTTTTGACCTAAAGCCCTTGTCTTAGAACCTAGCTGCGCGCCCTAAACCCTAAACCCTAAACCCTAAACCCTAAACCCTAAACCCTAAACCCTAAACCCTAAACCCTAAACCCTAAACCCTAAACCCTAAACCCTAAACCCTAAACCCTAAACCCTAAACCCTAAACCCTAAACCCTAAACCCTAAACCCTAAACCCTAAACCCTAAACCCTAAACCCTAAACCCTGTTCAGCTTACAGTTTAAGGTTCAGGAGTGATTAGGGTTTGGGGTTTAGGGTTTAGGCTTTAGGGTTTAGGGTTTAGGGTGTTTCAGTGCTGGGTGTGTCGGGGTGGGCGGGGGCGGCGTTGAACTCATCTCTAAGACTTCATAGAGGTGCCTCTCGCACCCTCACAGCACGAATCAAAGGGTTAAACCCCAAACCTAAGCTCTAAACCCCCCAACCCTAACCGGAACCCCTAAACCCTAAACCCTAAACCCTAAACCCTAAACCCTAAACCCTAAACCCTAAACCCTAAACTCTAAACCCTAAACCCTAAACCCTAAACCCTAAACCCTAAACCCTAAACCCTAAACCCTAAACCCTAAACCCTGAACCCTGAACCCTGAACCCTGAACCCTAAACCCTAAACCCTGAACCCTAAACTTTAAACCCTGAACGCTAAACCAGTCTTGAGCAAGATTGGAATTCTCCGACCTGCTGAAACCCTAAACCCTGCACCCTAAACCCCTAAACCCCTAAACCCTAAACCGCTGAAAGGTGAGTAGCTTCTGGGATGGTGGCACAGGGCTGGGGTGGGGGAATTGAGGTGCAGTCTTGGCTCTGAAACCCCGCAAAACCCATGCCCTAAACCCTACCCTAAGCCCTAAGCCCGAAGCCCTAAACCCGAAGCACGCCCCAAATAGGGGCCTTCCAGCCGCTGAGAAGGATCTCATCGCCCGCTCTCGCGAGCGGGAAGGGCCTGACAGCGTGGCGAGGCTTCTGGGCATCTACGCACGCAGGTTGCGGTACGAGGAGGAACTTGTGGCCCAACTCCTCTTCCTGTGCCGCTGCCGCATCTCTCCCTCAACCCTGAACCCTCAACCCAAAACCCTAAACCCTAAACCCTCAACCCTCAACCCTGAACCCTCAAGCCTCAAGCCTCAAGCCTCAACCCTCAAACCCTCCCTCCCTCCCTCCCTCCTTCCCTCCCTCCTCCCTCCACTCCACCGGCATCCTGCCCAGTTTTCAGAACCCATGACCGGTTATGCACTCCTGCAACGCGGCTTCGTCAGTTTATCGAATGGTTTCGGGTTTAGGGTTTATGGTTTAGGGTTTAGGCTTTAGGCTTTAGGGCTTGCTGTTCACGAGGCGCTCAGAACATTTCTGAGAAGAGGAAGGTTGGGACACTCTAGGGGGGGCGGGGGGGCCCTTAATGATATGGTGCCTTACAGGGGGTTCTGAAGTGTGGGCCCTTGAGGTTTAAATGTAACGGGTATATTTGATTACGAGGTCCCCTTTTTAAGGGCCCATACTAAGGGACCATGGAACTACCCTAAGAAGCCCTTGGGACACGTAGCCCACGGCTTGCAGGTCACCTAAGCCCCCTAAACCCTAAACCCTAAACCCTACACCCAAAACCCTAAACCCCAAACCCAAAGCACTAAACCCTAAGCCCCCTAAACCCTAAACCCTAAACCCTAAACCCTAAACCCTAAACCCTAAACCCTAAACCCTAAACCCTAAACCCTAAACCCTAAACCCTAAACCCTAAACCCTAAACCCTAGCCGCCCTACAACCTACGCCCTAAACCCTAAACCCTAAACCCTAAACCATAAGAACCTAAAACACTAAACCCACACCCTAACCCTAAACCCTAAAACTTAAACCCAACCCTAAACCGGCTTAAACATAAAACCTAAACCCTAAACCCTAAACCCTAAACCCTAAACCCTAAACCCTAAACCCTAAACCCTAAACCCTAAACCCTAAACCGACCCTAAACCCTAAACCGACCCTAAACCCTAAACCCTAAACCCTAAACCCTAAACCCTAAACCCTAAACCCTAAACCCTAAACCCTAAACCCTAAACCCTAAACCCTAAACCCTAAACCCTAAGCCCTAGCAGTCAAGGTATCACTGCCGGAACGACAGGCGGCTCGACACCCCAAAGGTAACACAGGAGCTCAGATAATTTGTTTAGAGTTTTAGGGTTTAGGGTTTAGGGTTTAGGGTTTAGGGTTTAGGATTTAGGGTTTGGGTTTAGGGTTTAGGGTTTAGGGTTTAGGGTTTAGGGCTTAGGGTTTAGGGTTTCGATATGGTTGGGGTCCTCCTTAGAAAGATTCCTATCATTTCGGGGTCCTATATTCAGGGTCACTTTTTTTTCGCAAACTTCGCCAGGCCCTTCGGCCCTCAACCCTAGACCCTAAACCCCATCTTAGGCATTACCGTTGTTTGGTTTCGGCTTCGTGTGCCTGGGTTCCAGGAGTTTACCTTAAACCCTAAACCCTAAACCCTAAACCCTAAACCCTAAACCCTAAACCCTAAACCCTAAACCCTAAACCCGATTTAGGCCTCAGAAGCAAATCCCGCGATGAGGGTTTCGAGTTTAGCCAAGGGAGTCACGGTCGGAACCCTGAGGATGCACCCCTCAAGAGGTTCAGGGTTTAGGGTTTAGGGTTTAGGGTTTAGGGTTTAGGGGTTTAGGGTTTAGGGTTTAGGGTTTAGGGTTTAGGGGAATATTCTCTTAACACGGCCCTCATATTGCCTTAGAGGGTCATGTCAAAGGGTCCCCGAAACCCAAGGCTGCAACCTAAGGGGTCCAGAGTAGAGCCCCAGGATGCTCCCTAAACCCTAAACCCTAAACCCTAAACCCTAAACCCTAAACCCTAAACCCTAAACCCTAAACCCCAAACCCCAAACCCG